AAAAAAAATATAAATAATTCCTATTTTGTACCCTGTGGTATCTCTGGTCTTTTTCTTTTCGTTGTTGTTGTTGTTGTTGTTTATTTTTTTTAATTCCTGTTTCGTTTTTAAGCCTCCTCAGGTTCTCCTCACTCGTGTCCCTGCTGGTTCCTGCAAGCCAGGGAAGATTTTTTTTTTGTTTTTTTTTTGGTGGGGGGAATGTTGCACAGGGAATTTCAATATAAACCTGTTGTTTCTCTTTACAGGTGAGGCCAAAATTCCAGAGTTTTTTCATGATTCCTGCAGGATTTTGGGTCCCCAAATCCCCTGGGAAGGGAATGGGAGCAGTTCCAAAGGGATCTGAAATTCTTCATTTCCCTCCATCTCCATCCTGGTGTCCCAAATTCCTCCCCCAACTTGTTCCTAATGACCTTTTTGGAGTTAATTTAATTCGAAGACATTTAATTAGAGAGGGTTTGGTTGGGTTTATTTGCTCTTTCTGACCTGCTGCCCACTTGGCTCCTTGGCTGCAATTCCAGGCTCAGGCTGCAGGAAATTTGGCAATCCCACATTCTGGGCTGTGTTTGATTTCAAGTTTAATTGAAATAGAAATATAAATTTCATTTTCATTTAAACCTGGGAGTGCTGTGGATGCACAAAAAGGGGGAGAAACTTCTCTGAGTGGGGCAGGAAAAAGAATCTGGGGAAAAAAAAAAAAAACAAACAACCAAAACCAGGGAAAAAAAATAAAAGAGCAGCAGATGAAATAATTGGGGAAATAAAAACTGGAGAAATAAACAGGAGCAGCTCCCTCGGATTTGGCTTTTTGAAGTTTCCTGGGCACAGCGTGGGCAGGGAAATCCAGCCCAGTTCTGCTTCCAGTGGAATTGGGATTTTTTTTGCTGCTCCTTCCATCGGGTCCCATCGCTGGGACTGAATTATTGAAATCCCTGGAGGAGCTGTGTTAATTGGGGGAGTTAATTGGGAGAGGAGGGGAATTGTGGAATTATGGCATGGGGAGAGGAGGGAGCAGGGAGGGAGAGGATGGGACTGAGGGCTCCTCTTGGAAATATCATTATTATTATTATTATTATTATTATTATCGTTATTAGTAATAATTTTTAATTTTTATTACATTTTTATATTTTATTTTTATATTATATTTAATATCGTGTATCTTATATTACTCTATTTTTATCTTCTATATTCTTACATTTGCATATTTAATTTTTATTGGTTTTATTATTTTGTTTGTTTGTTTATTTATTTATTTATTTGTTATTTATTTCTTGTCCTCTTGCTCCCAGGAACAGCTCCCTGGATCCCAGATTCCCCCAGGAGCAGCAGGAAAAGGAGGATTTCATCCAGCTGGTGGAGGATAAACTGGTCAAACTGGGTGAACTGGGACAGCCCCACATCCTGGGATCCAAAAAAAAAAAAAAACCCTGGATGTCCTTCCCAGGCTCAGCAATTCCCCCTTGCTGAGGATTTTTGGGATTTTCCAAAGGGTTCCTTTGGGTGTGGCTGCTCCAGGCCTGGATCCCACAAATCCTGGAGGAGATCCTGGAAAAAATCCCTTGGAATGTTGGTGAAATCCAGGATTTTTGGGGGGCATGGGAAGCCGAGCCCAACATTCCCTGATCCCAGGGCAGCTCCAGGGGGGGATTGGGGCTGATCCCAAAACCTCTCCTGTGCCCATGGACTGTAAATCCTGCTGTTCTGGGCAATTAACATCTCCTAATTAAATTAAACTCCATCTGGCTGAGCCCAGCGAGCCAAGGAGGGCGTTAATTAAAGATCCCAACGTTAATTAAAGATCCCAACGTTAATTAAAGATCCCTGTGACCCAGGGCTGGGATCAGCAAATCCCCAAATCCGTGGCAAAGTGCTGGAGCATCCCAAAATCCGGGGAAATCCGAGGGGATGAGGAAAAACAATCCAGGAATGGCTCTGGAATTCTATGGAATTCTTTCCGGGGGGAGGGGAAAAATTGGAGATGGGAACAGATTTTTTAAGGGTTTGGGAGTTTGGGAATGGGGAATGGGAATGGGGAACGGGAATGGGATTGGGGAATGGGAATGGGAAGATTCCAGGCTGGATTTCCACACCCAGGGGGATGTGTCAGATCCTGGAGGTGAGGAGAAGGAGCAGAATTCAAACCAGGCTGCAATTCCAAAGGTTTGGGAAACTCCAGGAGATCCCAAACTGCTCCTGAGGATCCCGGGATGCTCCAGCGCTGCCTCATCCCCCGTTCATCCCTCATTTCCCCGCCAGAATCCCGCAG